GTGTGTGTGTGTGTGTGTGTGTGTGTGTGTGTGTGTGTGTGTGTGTGGGTGGGGTGGGGTGTGTGTGTGTGTGTGTGGGGGGTGGGTGGGTGGGTGGGTGTGTGTGTGTGTGGGGTGGGGGGGTTAAAGATGAGCTGAAGCTTGACTAAAACCAGAAGCTAATAACATTCTATAAAGGTCATCTGTCATTCATTTTTTTGTTCATTATTTTATAGGATTATTTTACTGCCTTTAGTCTCCAGCTTATTTATGATTAGCTTGAAAAGAGGAGCGGCTGACATATTAGTGCTCACATACAGTATATGCAAGTGTCTGTTAAGTGAGTTAAATATTGACAGTTGAATGTTGGTCCAATGTTACCAAACTTACTTTTGTAGATGAATCCCCTTATCAATATTTAAACCTTTATGAAACAATCTCAGTTTAATACTGATGCCTCTGTATAACTTACATAAGCAAATGAGACCGTCAGCGAGAAGATTGGCTATTTCTAAATAGTTATTCTTAACACCTGTTGTCAGGTTCAATTCCCAGTGACATCGGACGAAGCGATTTCACCAGAAGCTCTTTTAGCTCAGACTCCAGTGCGGCCTCCGGCCCCCACGTACAGACCCAGATCCCGCTTCGCTGCTGCCGTCGACCTGCAGTCAGAGCACCGGCAGCAGTGGTTCCTCCTCTGGCCAGGAGCAGAGGCCCTCGCCCTCACTGCTCCGCTGGGAGCCGACACCACGCTGTTGGAAGCCCCGGCCGTATTGCTGGGCCCACTGGAGGGAAGGGAGGCACTGGAGAACCAGGACTGTGCAGAGCAGACTGTCAGACGACGCTGCAGTAAAATGAAAGGGTTTCTCACGGCAGATAGGCTTTACTCAAGGGGGTATCAGCCATTTGGTCAAAAGATGAGAGCAGTAGTGATCCTCATGGGTCATTCTTTTCATACTCCTCTGAGATTTTATTCACAAACCATTTCCTGATTGACGAGACTATCTGATAAAGTCACATTTCCCTGTGAGCAGAGTATTCCAAGCTAACACTTTCCATGTGATAGAAAGAGACACTTCATAAGCCGCTGAATGCGATTCCATTTATCTTTATTATATGAAATGTTTTTTTTCACAGAAGACATTTTGATTTGTCATCATAGGAAAAGGTCAGGTGTCACCATTAACATTAATGATGCTCTTCAAGTGTCCCTGTAAATCATGACATTGCGACAGTCAGTCAGCATGCACAATACCAGGAACCTGATACTGGAGGAGGGAAGTGGAAGTCAACCATCCTTCATGTATTATGTCAAAATGTCTGCAGTGGAAAAAAACGTATTGTCATGATTTAGAATGTTTTATATTGTTCCATTATGACCCCGTTTGTCACTCCAAGTGTTTATTGCTGCCACCTGTGACTTGGTGACACTGCGCTCCCAGAAGAAGGTCTTGGCCCAGTCGTACATGCTGGCTGGATCCTCTGAACTTCATGGCCCAGGAATGTGGGTCCTCCAGGGCCAGGCAGCACCTGTACCTCCTCCCTCACTAAACGGTCTAGCTGCAGAAATCAATACTAATGATGTGTTTGGTCAATATTTAACTTGTAAAGTGAAACATCTCTAAGTTTATTACCCATAATGCTGCTGCCAAATGACTGAGAAAGTCCAAGTTCCAGCTTTAAACTGGATCTCACTTATTAAATAGGAAAGAGCTGTTGTGCAATAGACTTCACTTAGAGTTTCAAATAGAATTCAGGCCGGACCATTCACAGATGACCAATATTTAGACAACAGAAGCAACGTTAAAGGGGCGAAGCACACGTTTTTTTTTTTTTTAAACTCCCACTAAGGGAACTGTGTTCACATGATTGGTTAAGAATTTGGAGATGTTAATAACCAAGAGAGGAGTCTTGTTCTGAGATTACAGAAAAATTGCATCAAGTGGGTTTTTGCATCAATATCTTAAATTAAAGTTGAATTCAAAAAAGGAAAGGAATGGAAATACCTTCAGGCATATCATTTGGTGTTTCTCCACCTTAACAGTTGAAATAAATATAAAGTAGGTTCCCAGTCAAACATTTCTTACGGTTTGTTTACACCAAACACAAATCAAACTCTTTGCACATCGCAATTAAATACAAAGTCAATGCAAAGAAACATTGAAATATTTCAACTCGAGCAAAAAAATTATCAAACAGAAATGATTCTGCAGTCTAACTGGCACGAGTAACACAAGGCCAATGTTTGTTTCGTGCTTAATGTTCCCAAACATTAAGACATACAATTAGACATTTCTAACAGGCAGCACTGGTTAGACTGCGCTAACATTTTTTATTTTATTTATTTTAATTTATTATACTATATCATCAGGGAAGGGAGGTTGCGACTGGGAAATGTGGACTTCAGTGTTTGTGAGGATGCCTGTTGAAGGGTCCATGAACAAAATCTTTTGTCCATAATAAATGCAGTGCTGACAGTATGCAGACATTCAACCTATACTTTCACATGAGCATAGTACTCCTAAAATCCTGAGTACGGCTCTGGAAAAAAATGTGATAAAATGAGACAGAGTATGTGTTGAGGTCTTTGTGATTCTGACAAGCTTAACATTCTTAAACATAAACCCTCAGCAGTTTTACAGGCTGAAGACAATACACTGTATTTAGGCACTGCAAAAATGACCATGTAACACCATATATGGAAGGATATAGATGTCCCTTGAGAGACCTAAATCATTTACCAGCAAACAAAGTAAAGAAGTGAGAACTGCAGGCTTTGTCACCATCTGGAGAGGAGATGATTAAACATGTGGTCAGTGGATATGAAAGGCCTGGGGATGTGTTCTCTCGTGAACCCCAGCAAAGCGTCCAGATGTCTAATAGCTCATTGTTTGAATAAAGTCCCCTGATTTCCTCTCATACTCACCACTTCACCTCAGTATTCTCTCATCGCGTCATATCACACCACGGCCCACCACTTTTTCCAAACATGGAACAGTCCGACATTTGGAAAGAGGAGTTCAAACCTTTTAAATAATGTTGTGATGACTCTAAGGCTTAAGCTATCTACATTCTCTTTTGCATTTGAAACCATTGTTGAAACCTCTCCACCTCCTGAGCCACAGCTGAGACATTTCAGCACGGTCTTAAGATGAGATGTTCAGGGGTCCACATACTTACGGCCATGTAATATCTGTATTATCAACTGTGACAAGTGGATGAAATATCTTGTTGACTACCACACACAGATCTCCAATCATGTGCATTAGTGGTTGTGGTTGGTGAAGAATCTCACGCTCTGATTCGGGCATTTTGGCTTTGTATAATTTGCTGTTTCCATGTACCACATCGCAAAGATTAAAATCTTGTAAGCATGATTATAACATATCACCAAATCTAAAACCCAAACTGAAAGCAACTGCTCACAATTAGTGGTGAGACTCCACGTGCTGTCTCTGTCTCTGTGGGTGGGAAGTTGTACTTTATGACAGATGTGTTAAAGATTCTAATAGCTTTTTGGGCTACAGTATACATATGGTACAAGATACTTTACTTGATTCACTTCCATTTTGCTACTTTATGGTTCTACTGCACTACATTTCAAATATTGTTCTCTTTACTCCACTACATTTATCTGACAAATAAAGTGACTTGATTCTTTTTAAATTAAGATTTTACATAAAAACACGTTATCAGATTAGGAAATACATAACAAAGCTCCTTACAAAAAAAGCAGTGTCAGATGTTGTTAGCAGTTTCACCAAATAGACATTTCCCTCCAAAGCTCTCAGATGGTTTCATATAAATGAGTGTTTCTGGCCCAAAGTAGTAATAAGATCCTATTGTTTTCACAAAAAGCAAAGAGGGACTTTTTTTTTTATGAGATTAGAATAAATTACATATTCATTTTGATTAAAACATATTTCTACTGAACATGGGAATTTATTTGTCCACCACGATAAAGGATCCTAATTGACTGTCAACACCACGTAATGCGCTGTTGAGAGGTATAACACGTTGAATATAAAGTAGTTCCACCTTGAGCCGCTACAACAGTAGAATGCTGCTGACACAGCATCAGTATTAACATCTATCTAATAATGTCATATACCGAAGGGTGAGTGTTGTTTCCACGACAACCCCGTCGGTCGGGACCGCGTCATTGGCGGTAACCGCAGTATGAGCGCAGGGCAGAGTGGCAGCCATTAGCTAGTCAGTGGGACACTCACACTCACATGCACTCACATGCACGCGGGGCAAGGATTTAAAAGCATTAAAAAAAGATTCTGCCAGTCTTCCACGTTTAACAGAAAAACAGAGGCCCCAGCAACTGGCAGTTCAGTGTCATAATTTCCACAATGAGCAGAGAGTGACTAACAGCAGCTCACTGTGGAACACTGCCGAGGCATTCAGCACATGCCAAACCACCCTCTCTCTCTCCCAACATGCAACCACCCAGCAGCACATGAATTCAAACAAATAACCTCAACACCGTCAAACAGAGCAAAGCCGCATTTTGGTTTCCGTAAAGTGATGAATGGGTCATAAAGAGCATGTGAAATGAGGGCAGTCCTTCTCTCCTCTCTTTTCTATCCCAGCTCATGTATGCTGCCCTTTCAGTGCTTTCTTCCTCTGTTTGAGACTTTATTATATTATTTTAAAAAGGCAGCATTCCTCTCTGGGTGATTTTCTCTTTTCTCAACATGTAAGACATTCTAATGTTACAGGAATGTATCGGATCCACTGTCTGGGCAGTTCAG